TTATTGTAATGTCTTAAAAACATCGGCTAAAATTCTTACAAGTCTTGATTCAGCTGGCGTAAGCATCATACATGTTGGTGGTAAAAAACCACAAGCGGCCGATAATAAAATTACATTAGACTTACATCGTTTTGAAAGACAAACACGACCACCGGCTACTGTTGTTTTAATATCTGGCGACATTGATTTTGTTGGTGCGCTATCTGATCTGAAATATCATGCTGGTTACAATGTCGTTGTTATACATAATCAATTTGCTAAACAAGAACTTATAAAAATTGCTAATGAGCATTTTGACTGGTCCAGTTTTACAAAAACTAGTCATCCAGAAGTAATATCTCGAACCGAAAGTCTATCGTCCCTCCATGCCCAACAGGAGGCACCTCCTCGATTGTTGAAAACTCGTGCTGTTGCGAGTCAAAAACGCGCTCACAGTTGCTCGAACTCACCACAGCAACTGATGTCAATACAGTTCTCGGAATGCCCTCCCTCATCAACCCAAATCAGAAAGTCTAATTCCCAAGAATCCTTGCTACAAAATCCCCACTTATATAAATGTCCAAAATGTCCTCGAAAATATCAGTCGTCATTTGAAAGAAGGCAGCATCAGCAACAACAAGGTCATATGTACAAATGTTATCATTGTCCAAGTTTGTGTTATACAAAACGTGATTTAAAACAACATAAGAAGAAACAAAATCATCCTGCTGATGAAGTACGGCAAAAAGGCGAAGAAAATGATGATTCGAACTACATCAACGGTACTATTCTCCATTAACTCAGTGAACGTATTACTAATCTCGATAAAGACAAGCGGTGTGTACCTTGACACAAGTCACTTGCTTGCAACGTCCGGACTTGACCAGAAAACGCTTCTATGGCATATTTCCAGAACTGTAGTTACCAAGGACAAAAAATTAACCTTAGCAAAAAACATGAAAAATTCCCTGTGCCTGCGATATAACTTTCTGGTTCATCTGGTAATGTTTTGTGTCTGATGTGCCAGTAAATATCGTTGGAATTGTGACAAAAAAATTAAAAAACGTCTTACGATGTTTGTTATGTATATTCTAAGCCAAAAGATAGTTCAACGTCCGTTTTAATCGGTCACAAGAGAAAATAAATAACGACATAAAAAGCAAAAATTTACGCATGTTAAAAATTTCAAACCATTGTACACGACATTCTTCTTTTTTTCCTTTTAATGGACTATTAACCTATTACGGTCACCGATTAAGAACTAAGTTGTAGTTACACAGAAGAAGTAGTTCTAATTGTTCTAGTTCCAAATAGAGAAAGCACACTCAAAAAGAAAGTCTATCGAGATAGTCATATAAATAGATGTGTGAAACGAAATTAATTTAACTATGTTCGAGAAAAGGCCTCTTGCTGTGGAAATAGGAAAAGCCGCCATTCAGGCTAACCATCAGGAGAACTAGAGTTACTTGTCACAATTTTGCTGTCCACATTATTAACTATTCAATAAACAAATTTCTCTCCATAAGAGTTTCGTTTGTCGTTTCTTTTATTGATTTAGGTGAAATTTCACTCAATGAGTTACAAAGAATAATAGTAATGTTTTAAAGTTTTTATGTTTGTTCAACGTTGCTGATAAAAATTGGCCTCTGTCTTTTACTATTCTCAATCCTAATCCACAAACACAGCAATAACTGTGTTTTAAATTATCGTTTACAGAAAGTCTGAGGCAGCTGATGTCAGATCTAAGTATGTTATATATTTAGATTTTTTTCACTATTAAATATTTTTTCTATGTATCGTATGTCTTTCTGATACAGCAGAGAAGTAGACATTCAGATACCTTTATATGTATGTTAACGTTTAAATATACTCTGTAAGTGGTGTATCAGCTCTAAGAAAATATTCAAGTATGACTATTCATTTCATATTCATTTCTGAATAATTTTATTGAAAACCTAACTTTGTTTTGAGTTGAAGCGACGGAGAAGTAGACAATGAGATAATCTCATGTATTGTGTATTATGTGAGGATGAGGTTGAGGATGAATATATTGAATATTGTCTAATATGGTGCATCAGTCCTAGTCTCATGTTTTCTCTGTATGTGTAAAACTGAAGAGTCAGATATTACTCGCACATCATCATTGATGAGTGGCTGGGAGGGTGTGGGGCGTGAGAGAAATTTGGAAAATTTTTCGAAAAATTTAAATTGTAGCAAAATTATGACTAGAACTGTAGTCGGTTCTGTATCTATTAACTTGGAAACCGACGGAAATCGAAAAGTGGAACTCGGATTACCCGTTCGAAATGGAAAGTTTAGAATGTCGTCTGAAGCTTTATAATCACAATAGCGTTCAAATCATTCGTAAGACGAGTCCGATCATCGAACTCGTCTTAGGACTAAGATGCTTCTAGTCTTTCCAGCTGCCATAAAATGAAAAAGTAACCTTTTAGACAATAGTCACACATGAACATACAATCCATGCGATTATCTGATTGTCTACTTCTCTGCCACTCAAAATTAATGCACCATATATAGATAATATTCAAATATAAATATACAAATGCATAAGATTGTTTGATTGTCTACTTCTCAGCTAGTTAGAACTGATGCACCATATATACACAATATTCGAACGTGAACGTACGTATACAGATCTGGAGAACAAATCAGAGAATCAAATAATCTGAGCGGATGTGTCAAATGTTAGAATATTTGTGAATGTGTGTTCCGGAGGGGTGTTGGCGGTGGTGAGAGTGAGTTCTGAAAATCTATGTAGCAAAGTACTGCTCTAAACTGGGGCTCAGTATGTAAGATGTATATTGAAAACGCTCATCGAATCCGTGTAAAAAATGTTAATAAATTCAAACATGAAACAAAAACTCGTCCTGCGGTGCTAATTGCTCGTTTTTACTCGTGTTGTACCTGCCGGGAGCTCTTAAATGCAAAATATTTATTGTATGATATGGCCGAAACGCATCCATATTCGCAAGTGTTAATAACAGAAGACCACTCTCGTCATAACGAGTTTTTATTTTTCTATGCTCGAGCAAAATTACCAAGAAATGAGCGTCATCATATTTACTCGAAAAATGGTCGTGTTTATTACTATGTTGAACACAATCAGCGTATCTTGCTGACAAAATCAGCTGATCTTGATGTCATACTAGCTGAACATCCCAAACAAAACGTGTTCAGTGGAGATGGAGCTGAATTAGTATAACAAGTATTTTGTTCTTATTAAACATTTTCGTTTGACTAGTCAGATGTGCCGATGCTTGTGTGTTTTTATTTCTTGTACTTTACAGCGTATGTGTTGCGTTTCTTTCTCTTTCTTTATCACTGGCATTAACTTCTTCGTCTGTTGTGTTGAATAGACAATGTATCGTATATTAGAAATGTGTTCGTAAATCCTGAAATTCTTCTCAAGCGACGAGATGAGATCTCCTAGCATCATTTTTACTTTTTATCAAAAAAATGTCACATAATACAAATTGACCAGGAGAGTGTGAAAAGTTGCTTGTATCACTTTTTAATGTTCGTAGTTTTATATCTCTAGTCGAACCTACTGAAAAAACTCGAACTACATCATGAACTGCATCATATACAAAATATGATGCATTATGTACGCACACCTCGCTTTCAAATCCAGCACTAGTAGGCACACTTGAATCCTGGCTAGATCGCTCAATTGACGATAAATGCATTCACTTGCCGAATTACCAAATCTCTTTTAGAAAGGATCGGAACCGCCAAGGGGGGGTGCCTTCAATATGCTCGAAATGATGTAGATATTACGCGTCTCCCAGAACTAGAAAGTGATAGTCTTGAGCTTATGTTTTTTGTATTAACAACATCCTACAGGATAAAACTAAGTTAGTATTAATACTATGCTATCGCCCTGATTATCATAAGATTGACTCACCAATATAGTCAAACCATTGACTGAAAAAGATCAGTCAGGCATGGCACTTGTCTTAAAAAATAGTACTCTCAACCACAAAAAACCAGACCGTGAAATTTTTAACTATAGAGCCACCAATTGAAATATTTTTCGAAATAATCTAGCTCTATTTCCATGGTCTGATCTACGCACACTAAATAATATACACGAACGTGTTCAGCACTTAACAGGTTCTTTGCTGGGATTTGCGAAGAATAATATACCAAATAAAAAAATTAAGCTGTCCATTCGAGATAGAATATGGTTCAACGAGGACTTAAGAAAACCCTATTATCGCAGAAAAAATCTCTATCAAAAATATGCTCGAAGCGGTCTTGAGAAAGATAAGAGGAAAGCAGAAAAGGCTGATAAAACTTTCGAAACGGCTTAATAAATGAAAGTCTAGCTACATCAACCTTTCCTGACAGTCCGTCAAGTGTGCCCAATACATAAAAAGAATGATCCTCACACTATCCAAAATTATCGTCCTATAACGAACGCTATGGAAAGAACCGTTTATAACTATTTGTACTCCTATCTTTTATCAAACAAACTAATATTCACTCACCAATCTGGCTTCATAGGAAGGACGGTTATTCTATAGCATGACAGTTCGTCACAACTGACGCAACAATTAAATATGATTATTATGCGGATGATGAATAATGCTGAGACAACAGGTGCATAATTATTTTTCAGCTTATCTAAGTAGCACAAACTGACTAAGACAAATACTAAGACAAATGTTTTCTCTTTTCCCATGAAATAATTTTGATACGCAAACGCAGGTTAGCAAGTGTTAAAAGAACTAATAGCTTAACACGTGCTCACAATTTGGATGCCCTGAAAGCGTGCAAACGTGTCATCTTTCGAACTTGTATGCGACCGGAAATGTCTCAAAATTAACACTAACTCGTTAAAATACGATCTCATTACAAAAATAGTAAAAGCTGAGTTAAAACTAGTTAATCAGGAAAGGTTTGAAATTATAACGAGACAGGTAACGCATTAATGCGTTAAAACCGCGTTAAATGTTTCATATTCGGCGGTTTTGCCGCGTTCAATTTGTAACGTGTGCTAACGTTACACCTCAGTAGTAGAGCGTTCAAACTCCTTCGATTTTTTTAACGACTTCGAACGCGTTAACATTCGTTAGAATAAAATTCTTTGGATTCAAAATGTTCTAACTCGTTAGAACGCGTTAATATATTTAACGGGTTTGTATGATTTTGTTCTTGTACTAATCAGGCACTGTTTTTTTGTGAAAAACAGAACAACATGTCTCTATTCGAATAATATGCCTGGACGACCAATTTAGTCGTTTCTGCTTCTTTCTCTTATCCGTTACTTATCGACTTATCGTCCTGTTTGTAGTGGTGGAACCAGAAATTATCAGGTGAGTGGGTTGAGCCCTAGACTTTCTCAAAACGCATTCGAGGTAGTGTAAGTTCTATTTTTCTGTCTGCTACAAAGGTGGTGTAAGTTTAAGTTTTTCGACTGCTGCAAAAGTAGTGTCTATTTTTTTCAAAAGTAGTGTCTAAATTCTTAAATGGAGTTTTTCATTAAATCCAGGACCATTTACCATCAAAGAGCATGCATTAATTAGTGCCATGGTGGCTGCTAATACTGGCACAAGTTATGCAATTTTTCAGATCACGGCGGTGGATAACTTCAACAAACAGCCATTATCAATTACAAATGGTCTTTTCTTAGTTATTACGTCAAGCATGATTGGTTATGGAATGACAGGCAAGTATTCACATTAATTACCGCGGCCTCGAGACTCTGATTGCTATTAAAGATTGTGAGAAATTGTAATGGTCAAGGATTTAATACAGAATAGATTAATTAATGCGACTGTTTGAAACCTTTCATTGGATATTTCGACCTGTTTATTCAGTCATTTTCCACATACTAACGACAAAAAACAGCGACATAACCTATGCATGGCTCTTTGTTTTCTCTAACATGGATGGAAAACATGTGATACATTCCAGAGATCGAAAGAAGAAAAGCAAGACCCCAATCCATTTTTTATCTCAAACGTTTGAGATAAAAAACCTTGGCAACGTTATCATAGGCCCTTGTTGTTATTCTATTCGACAGTATCCGGTGGTATCATTCTTTTGTCACCTATTGTCCTTGTTAATAATTTTCTTCTTATTCCGTCTGGAAAGATGTACAGAGGTATTGATCTGTCACCGAGATCTTGTTGAGGCACTTTTCTCGCGGACGATGGAAGTTTACCCGTTCTTTGACGTGTTATCGGTCCTGTGATTCGCGGTACGGTTACTTGTTTGACAAGTTTAAGGAGTTTTTATCCCAAACGTTTGAGATGAGAAATAGGTTGGGGTCTTGGCTTTCTGTGTTTTTCTTCTTTCGAGGAATGTATCACATGTTTTCCATCCATCTCAGAGAAAACAAAGAACCATGTTTAGGTTATGTTGCTGCTTTTTGTTGTTAGTATGTTGAAAATACCGAATAAACAGGTCGAAATATCCAACGAAAGGTTTCAAAACAGCCGCATTAATTAATCTATTCTGTACTAAAGGTTGTATTTTTGAATAAATATTTATCATGATTTACAAAATGAATATCATAACGGTACCCATGGCATATGCCAGTGTTCATTCGTCTGCCGCCTCTATTGCACTAACAGAGAAGTTTATATTAGAGTTGAAAGCGTTTGAGGAAGTCTGTGGGTCAGAATCATCTCGAGGAGTACTACGAAGCTTGTTCCACGTGGAACTCGAAAGGATGGATTTATTCACACAATTTATTTTGCCTTGCATAGAACTGATGTCGATGATAAGAGAATAGCTTGTTGATCGCTTCGAAACTCAATGAGATATATGAGATAGACAAGTTATTGGTTCTTATCTAATAGGTGTATGTTTTGCGTAATAATTATTTGAGCTAATGATAGGTTCAGCGCTTCACTTTTAAGGTGTTGGTAAGTATGATAGATGTAAACGTAGGCGTCGATAAGTTTAGTAGTGATGAATATCAAATTATTAGTATCATTATTCCTGGATGAAATAGTCGCAGTAGATCGGCGAAAATATTTATCAAGCACTCATTTAGATCAGCCAGGGTTGCATTTTGTGATACGATCTGTTGATTAGACCTAGACTTTGTTTCGTTTGCTTCGTATACGGCGCCGTTGAAAAAGATAAGAAAAAGGATACTCTCAGAATTCGTAACTTTAGAAAAAGTAAAAACTGCGGTGGATCTGATTGGCATGGTTTCTGCTAAACCTTCGTCACACAGTGGAACGTGAGAATAAAACGTTTCAAGGTACGGAACCTTTTCTCACACATAGATACTGCTGTAGATGTACAATAGAATCAAGTGTTGTTCAATTATTGTGTGATCGGAAGCACTCCCTTAGTAAGAGCCACACTACTTTTTATTACACTGCAGTACTTCTTAGCAAGTACTTATAGAGTAAATTCTTTGGTCTTTTATAGTGAACAGAAGAGTGTGCGTGCTGAGTTATGGCATTTGAAAATGTTAATAGTGATTGGTGTATGTGCAGGAAGAAAGAGAGTTGAATAACGGCATATATATTTGTGAAAGAGAACAAAAGCGACTTCCTCAAACGCATTTAGTCTATTATTTTGAAGATAAGGAAAACTATTATAGAATATTTGTTATTTCTTTTTCGAACAAGGTAAAATCTATTCATTATCTTATTTTTGTCGTGATATTAATTGTGTGGATTTGAAGTGTTATTCATTTGTGATAGCATCAACATCCACTGCTGTGGCTAATATTTTCCGTAGGAACCTAAAAACGTTTGCGTCGATAAAAGCCTTTCTTGACTAACTACTGCTTAGCCTAAACTTAAAGGATTTTCCCTCTTTCTTTCTGTCATGGGTAAAATCAATTCAGTTCTTGCTGAGACAGTACTTGCTTATTAAGTACTACTCACACTTTAAAAACATAACGATTTATTGCTCAAAACTGATGAACCTACTCTGAAAATGCTTGCTAAGCGAGTATTGCAGTGTAGTAAAAAGTAGGTGCAGCTCTTGCTGAACAAATGCTGCCGATTATATAATAATTGAACAGAAAGTTTTGTCATATATGACGAAAGTGCGTTCGTCATAGTGACGACAGGGTAGTGTGACGAAGGCATCATAATTCAACCAGATGCAGTGCAGTTTTTCCCATTTCTCTTATAATCTGTGACTTTTGCGAGAAGCTGTATTTGCTACAAAATAGCAATGCGTATTTAGTCCTCCAAGAGTCTTGCGTCGTATTTCGATCTCTTTTTC